CCGGTTGTCTGTCTCCTGCCCCGGTACAGCGCGTATGTATGCAGTCTTTACGTAAGTTGGGGCTTCAGTCGGCCATTTTGATATTACGTCTCAGCTTGAGTTTGGTTGAATTCTCGATCTATTCGTCAGTCAAAGAGCTGTTGAAGCTTTCGTGGTGGTAGTATTAGGCTCTAAAGAATGCAGGCGATTTCGTGATAGTGAAAATACTAACCGATTTTCACTAGAAATTACAAAAATCGTTGTGTTAGATTTTATTCGACTTATACCCTTGCACCATTGAAAATTTAATCCTGGAATCTGAAGCGAAAAGCCTCTTTTCCTACTCACTGAACGTGTAATGCAAGCACAAATCGATGAAAATTGTAATATTGATTATAATTGACTCCTGTATTTGACCATATCATCGAAGATTATGTTGTCATAATGAATACAGATTTAACCTGGTCGCGTAGATAACGACCCTGACTTATCGGCATTTGTGTCGGGGGGCTTTACAGGTGAATTACGTCGCTTTTCCTTTGGGGGAAATGGAGTGGTAAAAGATCGTCTATATATTTTTCTCTAGGACTGTAACGTAGGCCAAGATGCCTGAAATGACGTTGCAACACTGAACTAAGTATTCTGAGATATTGTTTCCTATTGTGTCGCAAAATGCGTTAGTTTCTATTAGAATTTGAAGGCCTTTGACGGTCGTCTCAGTGCAGGCTGGCTTCTTGTTTGTTTCAAGCAGTCAGTGCAACCTCTCGACATTCGTGTGGGTTTTGAAGGAGGCGGCCACTGATTACGTCATACAAGACGAGATGCCCGAAACAAAGTAATGGCTGTGAGCTGCAGATTCCAGTGAGCACGCTGAGATATTATTTTATTTTACATTTTGATTGTTCTGTGATACTGCCCACGCATTGTGCCCAAGGATGAAGTAGAGCATTCCGTCTCCTTCCAGGTCAGTGATAACAACCGCGTCACACTCGTTCAAGACTTGAGGTTTTCGCAGCGATGAGGATAATGGCCGCTTAGGCCGTGCAACACGCCAAACCGAAAATTATGTTGCAGCAGCAGCGAACTAAGGACTCCGTTGAGTACAATGAGAAATTATATGCCATCATTGTCAGATAATGCCCACTGATCGAGTTTCAGACCGTACATACAGAAGCGACGTAATTATAAATTCTTGTCATTATGCGAGGCATTATGTCTGCTTTGAGATGATTGGCGGAGCCCTCTTCACATTCACGGTGATTATGATATCATCATTCTTCATCTCCGTCGTGAACCCTCTCAACCTGAATCGAGCCTTGCAGGCGGAGGCAAGATTTTCCCACGTCTCGCTCCTGGACGCTGCTCTGTGACGTCGGATTTCGCGAAGGTACCGATATCGTCAAAATCAAAGAATGTTTGTTGTAAACATACACGGCAGTCATCGTGTAGCTGACAGTCGTTTAACTGGTCGAAGCGTTTCTCTTCGTGTATGGAAACAGAAATTTTATTACAGCGTTTACAAAAACTGACTGGTCGTCCTTACTTCATTTCTCGTGAGTAAATTTCGTAAGGATATGCTGTGGACCGAGTATTGCGTATGGAGTACGTAGAAGTTCGTATTGGTTTGGATTAGCCCCCTCTGCCAGGGACGCGACTCAGTAGGCGTCCTTCACGTGGTGATGGAATTAGAGCTGCTAGAATGTAGTGCTGTATAGAGCAGAGGTTCCGAAAGTGTGGGGCGTGCCGTTTGTATGAAAAATGTTTTTAACGAAATTTGGAGAAACATTTTTAACATACTTCGCTTGACTGAGGCAGTTCAGAAGTGGCAGTCATCAAAACAAAGTATCGTTCTACTATGAACCTGTGTTGAACATGAATTTTAAACCAGTGACTTGTTTTCCAGAATATGGTGTTATGTGGTATGCTTGTATCCTGCAGCCGTCATGTACCACCTTGTGGTGTATCCGGTACTTCCAGATGCTGCGTGATATGATGTGGCAGTACTGAATTCGAGACTCATGGTAAGTACACTGGACTACTATTTTCAATTACCTTCCGATACTGACCATCAGTTCAATTTCAGTGCTCATACATTTTTTTACCTGTGTAATGTGTGAAACATACTTTAGAGCGCTGTACTCTTTTGAAATCATTTAGAAAGTTGATTTATTGTGTCATCGTTATAAATATAGTAGAGTATATTTTCAGCACATTCTGTCCAGCCATTGAAAATGTTAAATTTATGAAACATTGGTCTGACTCATTTGCAATTCAAAATGGTCTGAAACAAGGAGATGCTTTGTGTACTTCTAGGACAGCAGTAACAACCACTTGACATTCGTACAAGATTTAATTAAGGTTTTCGTGGCGGTGAGGATAATGGCCGCCTACATCGTGAAGTCTGTTACGCCATACAACACGAGACGCCGAAAATGTTACCGGAGCACATAACTAAGGACTCATTTGAGTACAATGAGAAATTATATTCCATTAATATAATTCCCATTGATGGAGCTTCAGACCCTACGTATAAAAGCGGTATTATTATAAATTCTTGTCATTATATGGGACATTCTGTCTGGTTTCAGGGGAAAGGCATCAGCGTCTTGATCGCATTTTCACCCGTGCGGTTGTGTCCTGTTGCGTCTACACGCTCCGGGAAACCCGGAGTTCCGCAGCCGCTTCCACTCGGACGCTGCACTCTTGTCGTGTTTTATTGACAACTTTACGTCTGTTTCCAGTGTCGGCGGTCATCCTACCGGCATATTTCGTTTCTACCATCGTTATTGGTGAGTGAAACGAATTAGTTTACTTTTAAATTAACACACGACTAACGTCTAGGGTGCAGAGGTTAAACTCCTTCCAATGTTCCTTAATTGTGAGTTTCCAATTAATGTTTTTCTTGTGTCCATCCTTTGAGCAAAATGAATTCAGATTGTTTCAATTTACTCTTTTTCCTCTTTCTTTTCTTCTATTTCTCCTCCTTCCTACCCTCAGAGGATAGACGGGTTAGTGTAGAGTTGTAGCTGCATGCATTCTTAACCACTAACAACATCATCAACCCTGCAGTCCAGCCGCTGCGCTGCATCGGAATATCAGCACAATCCAGCAAAGACACAGTTAGTTTGCCCATAATATTAGAAATGTCGAGGAATAAATAGGGTGTGAGATCATAGACCATATTTATCTGCTTTGCGTTAAGTTGCAGTGGTAGGCTTTGATAAAGCATACAGAAGATATTCAGGATTTTGAAAAGTGGGGATTTTCTGTTTTGATGATCTGAGTAACGGCTAGCTTTTCAGTGACTTTGCTGTATCAAGTTAAGTAAGTGTGAGGTGATTTAAGCGTCTGCTAACAGAAACTATAAAAAGCGGAAGATTTTCAATTTGGAAAATTTCATGGGGCTAAAAACTACATTATCGTTATTTATTTACATAGCGTTGCCCTTCGATAGGTGATGGGGACGATCTTCAAGTTTGTAAAATTTTATGTAGCTGAAAAGTGCATTACTTACATAGCTTTGCCCTTAGATTACAGTCATATGGCAGAACAGACGTACAGTCCAAATTTGACCACCTCTGACGTAGACAAAGTTCATTCAGTGAACGTAATTGAGAAATTATTGCAATTTTATAGTATCGTAGGCATCAGTACTAGGACATTAAAATGTGGATTGATGAGAGATTCACACGGAAATAAGGGACGAGACGTAGTGGACAACGAAATCACATGCAAATAACGTGTGAATAAAATAATACAGGCTTTTGGAAGCCGAAATAAGTGAAACGGCCAAAACTGACATTTTAAATGAAGTTTTCAGGTTGTTGTATGTTCAAGATGTTATTTAATAAATAAATAAATTATTTACTTGTACTTTTATTTTTTACGATTTTAGAAACAACGAAAACTGTAACACTTGCTTGTATACCTTTGTTTCCATCTCCCTTTATAATAGGTAGAAGAACGACATATGTCACTATTTCGTCTTTAAATTTTCGCATATGAGTTGACTTTCAATGAGATCAGATTTTAACAGCAGCTAAAATTTCTATGACTTGTTACATTATAATTATTAATTATATATTAGCGTACTGGCAAATTAAAGTGTGCATTGATGATAACCAAAAGTTCTCAATTGGATTTAAATCTAGCGAGTATGACGGCAAAAATACAACTTTGCATCCGACACTTTATATTAATTCCCTTGTTCTTTCAGACTTATGAAAGCTTGCTTTGTCAAGTCATTTGCAAAGAACGTCGCTCATAT